GGGAAGCCAAACCTCAGAGCATAGGAATATTCTGCCTCGTATTCCTTCAGTTCTTCGACTTCTCAAGATGCGACTGGTTTAGCTAGGATGATACCTGCTCCCCCCCCATCCTCGCAGGATGAGCCGTCGACGTATAGGGTCCAGGCTCGAGGATCTATGGGGGGTTGTTCGCGTAGCTGCTTCCTCGAAATAGGTTCTTGCGTGATTTCCGGGGCTCTGGGCATTTCTACCAGGAAATCTGCAAATGCCTGTCCTTTGACGGCTGTACGGGGTTTGTACTCGATGTGATGTTCCCCCAACTCGACCGCTGGATGGGCTGTTCAGTTAGGACTTGTATAGGATGGGCCTGAAAGTACGGACGCAACCGTCGTGCAGCGAGCACAAGACTCAGGATAAGTTTTTCCATGGGGGTATATCGAGATTCTGCTCCTTGTAAGACTTTGCTGATGAAATAAACTGGGAGCTCCTTACTGTCTTTCTTCTGGATTAGTACTGCGGAGATGGCCGTTTCCCGGGCAGCCAAATAGATGTATAGAACTTCACCCGGTTGTGGCTTTGCGAGCATAGGGAGTCGCTTGAGATGTTCTTTTAACTCCTGAAAGGCTTTTTGACATTCATCGGTCCACTGGAAACCTTTCCCTTTTCTTAGGGTTTTGAAGAAGGGAAGGCTTCTTTCTGCTGCTCGAGACAAGAACCTGTTGAGTGCTGCTAGGGATCCTGTGAGCTTTTGTACATCCTTGACAGTTTTCGGGGTTTCCATTGATAGGATTGCTTCAACCTTTGCCGGGTCTACGCTTATCCCCTCCTTGGATACCTGAAATCCGAGGAATTTTCCAGATCCTACACAGAAGGCGCACTTTTTTGGATTGAGTTTCATATTGGTTTCGCGCAGAATCGCGAAGATCTCCTTCATATCCTCGATCACTTTGCAGTCTGAGTTGCTCTTGATAACCATGTCATCCACGTATATCTTGATGTTTTTTCCTATCTGATTATGGAAGGCTCCTATTAACTAGACGCTGGTAGGTAGCTCCAGCATTTTTCAGCCCAAACGGCATTTTGTCGTAACAATATACTCCGATCTTTGTGATATAAGCCGTCTTTTCCGCGTCCTCCTTGGCCATGTGAATCTGATGGTATTCTTTATACGCGTCGAGGAAACTGAGGGTCCTATAGCCGGTAATACCTTCCACCATTTGGTCGATTACGGGCAAGGGGTAACAGTCTTTCGGACAGATTTGTTGAGATCCGTGTAGTCTTGGCACATACGCCAGGAATTGTCAGGTTTGCGGACAAGGACGGGGTTGGCCAACCAAGTTGGCCAAAGCACTTCTTTCAGGATGTTGGCTCGTACTAGTTTGAGGGTTTCCTCGTTAATTACATTATTGCAATCTTGAGCAAAGATCCTCTTCTTTTGTTTTACCAGTTTGACATTGGGGTTAACGTTTAGCTTGTGCTCGATGATGTGTCGAGGAACTCCGTTCATGTCGGATGGCGACCATGCGAAGATGTCTCGAAAAGTCCGCAGTAAGGCGATTATTTCAGTCCGCAGTGTACCTTCAATGGATATCCCAAGCTTAATAGTTTTTTCTGGTTCTTTCTCATCCAAGATTAACTCTTCTGTCTTACTACTGAGTGGTGGGTTTGTCTCAACACCCGCGCTCGAGGCTTCTTTTTTTGTCCCTTTATGCTCTACTTGTGCTACGCCCTGTTGAATTGAGTAGCATCCTGTCGGAGTGACTGCCAGCTCCTGCTTTATCGCTTTCTTCCCTACTTTTACTGCCGTGAGAAGACATTCTCTGGAACTACGTTGGCAGCCTTGGACTATTCCTATCCCATATTCCGTTGGGAACTTCATGACCAAGTGGTAAGGTGACCATACAGCTCGGGCTTGGCACATCCACGGCCGTCCTAAGATCACATTGAATGGCGAGGGAGCATCAATTACGGCGAAATCCGTGGTTAGATTTACCGTTCGAGGATACGTCCCTACCGTGATTGGAAGCCTGACGATCCCGCTTGGGATTATAGTGTGCCCGGAAAAGCCCATCAAGGGTAGGGTAGCGGGACGCAAGTCTGGGTTTTGTATGTTCATTTTCTTGAAGCAATCACTGTAGATGATGTCGACCGCACTACCATTGTCGACGTACACGCGACTCACCCCGACATTACCTATGATGGCCTCGATAACCATGGCATCGCTGTGGGGGCATACGTTGGGGACGACGTCGCTGTCGGTGAAGACGATCGCTTCAGTTCCCTTGAATCGTTTGTGACTTGGCTCTTGCGGTGGAGTTTTTGTTACCTGTCGAACAGAGGCTTTTAACGCTGTGGTGGAGAGGACTTCGAGCGGGGCTCCATAGATTGCTCCCACATTGTGGGTAATCTGCTTAGCGGGATCAAGAGGAGGTATTTGCTGTATGGGCTGTGGTTGTTTGTCGAGGACCGGAGGAGCAGGATATTGTGTATTATCTCTTGGTTGCCAGCTGTTTCCTCGGTTGTCTCTCCGAGGTCCCCGATTGTTGTTTCGTCTGGGGAAATTGCGGGGACCTCCGGGTTTCTCTCGAGGGTTGCGGATATCTCCTCGGGCAGCTCCTTGCTTCATGGGAATCCTGATGGTGTTGGGTTGACTTTTCGGGCACTTTTTCGTGTTCGATTTTTTCTTGGATGGACTCAAATTTGATCAGTTCTGACAGCTGAGCGTCATCTACATGGCTAGTCTTCATAGCTCTTGTTGTTACTATGGTGACTTTGATGATGCCTTTGGAAGCTATGAGCTTAGAAAATTGTAAGAGAGGATTAATGTGGCTTTGATGCCGGCAAAGTGAGGACTAGAACATGAGATTTGGGAGTCATTTGGTTTAGTGATTTTGAGGCATGAATGAACCAAATCCTACTATATAGTGTAGACATTTTGGCCAACAATATGAAACTTTGATAAATAGTATCACTTCTTTTTGCAACTATATTGCTGTCCTTACGAGGAGGCCACAATGAGCCATGTTTCCTAGTCAAGCACCAAAATCGACAGTAATGCAAATATATTTATAATAGAGCAAGTAAAACAATGGTTTCTATAGTATGTGCACATTGGAATAAATTTCTTGTCGTTTTTCACCATAGTTCAATTGCTTTGCTTTGCTGGTACACTCCTTTTCCTGACTATTTTGGTATTTAAATTGTAGAGTAAAATGTTCAAATGGTCCGTTACATTTGGGCTTACTTGATTTTACGTCTTTAACATTAACATTTCAATATCGTAGTCCCAAACATTATATTTTCACACTTTTTTGATCCCATTTTACTGTTTCGGCCACTTTTCCGTCAAACTCGATATTGACCGGTAGTTGACTTGCCGGAATCAGGGGTATTTTCATCTTTTGACTTAATTTGAACTTTCATTGAAATTTAAATTATTAAAAATATCATAAAATTCAAATTTAATTATTTAATTGCTAAAATATTATTCATTAATTTAAAATATTATTATAAAATTTAAAACTTACATTATTTTTAAAAAATTTCATTTTCTATTTATTATTTATGCTGGATACAAAATAAATATTAATTACGTTCCATTTTTAACTCCATATCACTCAAAAATTTTACCGCGCTACAGTAACTAATTCAAAATTCAATTTTTTATTTAAAAATAAAAAGCAAACTAAATTTTTTATCCGAATTTTCACCTACCAATTTTTATTCGGTCGAAATAAAAAATCTAGCGGGCCCAAAGGGAAGAAAATTAGGGGTGCAAAAATCTGGATAAAAATGATTTATTTTAATTTAATTTATAGTTTGAATTGGAGATATAATTTAAAATGTAGTTTTAGTGAAAATTCAAAAAATTGTTGGGATAGAAATTCAAATAAAATAATATTATCTATACACCACCACCTCCAACGACGCCGCCAGCTGTTGGACCACCTCCTGCCACCACCGGACTGCCGACGACCGGCGACCCGCCAGCTGGATTCCGGCGGAATTTCGTTGGAATCCGGCCGACCGGTGGCAGAGGGTGGTCCGGCAGAGGGCAGCGGTGGTGGAGGTGTGGAGGTGGTGGTGTAAAAATAATATTATTTTATTTAAATTTCTATCCCAACAACTTTTTGAATTTTCACTAAAACCATATTTTAAATTATATCTTCAATTCAAAGCAATAACTAAGCTAAAAACTTAAATAAACCATTTTTTATCCGAATTTTCACCCCATAATTTTTTTGCATTTTTTAAAAATAACTCAAGATTTATTGTAGCTGTCAAAGTCAAAAATCTTGGCTTTGTTTTGTTTTTTTTTTAATTTGAATTTTGAATTATTTATTGTGACTCGGTAAATTTTTAAAGTTACAGTGGACGGTTAAAAGTGCAACATAATTAACATTTATTTTAGTAAAGAAAAAAGTAACTTTAAAAATAATTTAAATTTTAAAATTTTAAAATAATATTTTAAATTAATAAATGATATTTTAGCAATTAAATAATAAATATGAATTTTTATAATATATTTTTAATGATTTAAATTTTAATGGAAGTTTAAATTATATAAAAAGACGAAAATACGGCATGTCAACTGGCGATCAACATCGAGTTGGCGGAAAAGTGGTCGAAACAGTGAAATGAGACCAAAAAAGTGTGAAAACATATTGTTTGGGACTACGATATTAAAATGTTAATGTTAGGGATATAAAATCAAGTAAGTCCAAATGTAAGAGACCATTTGGACATTTTAGTCTAAATTGTACGTCTGACCTAAATATATAACTGATGCACATTTCTTGATTGTAATTCTGCGTTGTATTTTCTGTCTCGAAATCTTGTTGTCTTCACAAACATGATACCAATTATTTGGCTAAAACTGATGCAACAAATTGTTCAATGTTTGCATAAGAACTTCCTCCACTCATTGCTTCCTTGGCCAAATCCTTCCATTTTGCAGCATTCTTTTTCAGCTCAGTTGCTCTGTCTCCAGCAATGGCTTCCTTCATTCCAACCTCCACTGCTTATCTTCTCACTATTCCATCTTCACCAGCCTCAAGTCTCAACCCTGTTTGCCAAACATCAACAATCAACTTCGCATTCGTTGGTTGATCACCAGATCGTGGCATAACTACCATCGGCACTCCCAAACTCAGCGCTTCAAGAGTAGAATTCCAACCACAGTGCGTCAAGAAACAACCTACAGCATCATGATCTAATACTTCAAGCTGCGAACACCAGTTTACTATTAGTCCTTTTTCTCCAACCTCGGACGCGAAATTTGTAGGCAATTTGCTCTCCTCTGAAGCTCGAATTACCCACAAGAAGTGGCATTTGCTTTTCACTAGACCCCATGCGATTTCTGTCATCTCCTCTTCACTGAGATTCACCATGCTTCCAAAGGATACATAAACCACTGTGCCATTTGATTTTGTATCAAGCCATTGTTTGCAAGCTTCAATTTCTGGCTTGAAAAGACTGATACCAGAATCTCTGTCATCTTCCATCCGGTTGTGAAGGTACATTGTAGGGATAGTCGGTCCAATTGTTTTGAACTTTGGGAAGTGGCTTACCATCCATCTCACTGTCTGGTTGATTTAGGCCAAAAATGAGAGCAATAACTATGAATCAAGAAAAGACAGTCCTCAATTACACAAGTATATATGAAAATGTAATCCTGCAATTTGTTTAATGAATCTTCTGATCCACAATCTGTCCACATTTTGACAGGAAAACTAGTGATTCATGCAAAAATCTTTAAATGACTTGGCTCAATGACATGTGGAACAAAACATAGTGTGAAGTAACCAGCTCTACTCCTTAAATTTGATATTAAGATATGTAACAGAGGGTTCAATGTATCTTTTCATTTACACTATTACAAATGCTGAATCATTTCACTGCATAAATTCTCTGTTTTTATGGTTACTCTGCAACTTCAGACCCCCTTTTTTTTGGTGAACCAAGCAAACAAATAGTTAAAGCAGAAGTTTGAATTAGTATCTGTAATAATAAATGATGGTTATTTCACTCACCTGAAGTTCCAGAGACTCAAGAGTATTGATCAGGACCCAATCAGCTTTGTGAAAGCTCAGACTTTGATCCAGGACACACCTCAGAACAGATGAATATGTTCCAGCACTGTCGTTAACAAAAGAGGGCAAATCTTTTGGCTTGAATACGTACGGTACGGAAGGCAGTGACGCTTTAATTTGTTCTTTTTTCAAAGGTAATTCAACCGCTCCTTCATGTAGATGATAATATATAGCAGAAACTACAGCTGACTGAGTAAAAAATGCTGCTCCTGAAATTCCTACTTCTTTCGCAACATCGGAAACGTAAGGCATAAGTGAATCATAAACGACAACTTTCACAGGCTCACCAGAAGAGGCTTTCCCTTCCAAAATTAAAGGCAGGTATTCCAAAACTCTAGCCTTCAAAGTTTCAATCTTTGCTTCATTGGAGTCCTGATGATGGGCTAATTGTTTTTCAGCTACTTGTGCTTCTTCTTTGATCCTTTCAGCAGGGATGCACTCGAATTTGATCAGTTCGGACTGATTACCTGCTAGAGAAGTAGTAGTCTCTATTGGATTTGTGATGACAACTGTGATTTTGATACCTTTTGAAGCTAAGATCTTGGAAAATTGTAGCAGAGGGTTAATATGGCCTTGTACAGGCAAAATGAGAACCAGAACATGAGGTTTGGAAGCCATTTTGGTTCTGCAATCATTTGATCAAATACTTCATGGACTTGAATCAGTCATGGATCTGGAAAAATGTCTATATGGGATAACACTATCACATTTCTTGAACATAACACCCAAATTACATCATATTGTAGCGTGACGATGACTTTGTTGATGATGGTGATGCATAAAGTTTTCAATAGAATAATATCTTATTTTTGTAATATATAAATGTCCCATTCACCATTGGAGTGCTAATTGTCCTTTTTTTCTTTTCTGAACTATGCTTTGCCAATAGAATAATATCAGTATTCTTTGTCGATCCAACAGTGATAGATAGAAAATTAATTTCCCACATTGGAATCATAATCACTAGATAATTAGATCAGAAAATCAGAGCTCTTAAATAAACAAAAAAAAATGTACAGTTTTCCGTATCGGTTTTTTAGTGATTGTCCATTTTCGGAAGCGGCATTAATTTAAAAAATGGGATTAACTTTTGGAACTAAATGACTATATACGCTATGTTATTGGGAGTTGGACCAACAAATATAATGCAATAACGTTTCAATTTGTTATCATTCGATAAAACTGGTACCATACATTGCAGAGTAACATCGAATGTATGGTTCCAGTTGAACTTGACCATCAATTCGGACGCTAAACCTCATTAGGCTTGCTTGAATTGAACTTGACTTCAAGACGTACTATGTTTTCTCATAAAATGTATATATCATCGTCATCAACGCACCATCAGTGGTTAAGCTTCCAGCAGCCGTGAAAACATGAATCAAACAGCAGCGCCGACGATCAACTTTGGGGCGAGAGCTTTGGAGTTTTTTTTTTTTTTTTTTTTGGTCGAAATGTAAAAATTTCATTGATTGGCAAAACTGCACATTTACAACCAAGTAGTTTCTATATTAGTATTACATCTGATCCTGTAACTATCATTTGCTACCACTATACAAAGCTACTAACAAGTCCATATCCACCAAGAATTACTAGACCGGCTCATTCATTAATTAAGGCTTAACCGGCCTTGTAGAGGTGGTTCAGGAATATACATCCTAATGGGATTCGGCTTCCCTGAAGGTAATTCCATGCCTATAATAGGATTGCTGATGAGAATCACATAGCCTTCCATAGTGATTCTCCTAGTGAGGGGAATTAGCTAGTCCTTCATTCTAGTTTTGGAATGCCAAGTTTACTTTGCAGGCCAATCAAGAAAGAACTGATGGATCTTGACTACCTATGTGATAGGGAGTTGGTTCAAGGGAGCTATGATCAAAATGATGAGAATGTCATTAACTTTGGGGTTCAAACCAAAGGAGGTGATTCACTCATGGAAATAAGTGCTCAAGAGTATCAAGGGAGTTTGACTCTAGGTGCTCCATGAAAGATCATTTATCAAGCTAGAGAGAAGAATCATTTATGTTCTTGAATGGACGGCCTATCTGATCAAAGTATGCAAGATTGAGTCCATTGCTACACAATTGGATAGGTTGCAAACTATCTCAATTGTTTCAAGTGTTTTTCCAATCTTTTGGAGTCAATAAAAAGAATTCTGCAAGTTTTAGAGTAAATCGGAGTTTTCTACAACTTCAGGGGCGCAAGACCAATATTCAACTTTTGGAAGGCGTTCAAGACATTTTACTTCAATATTTGGAGTTGATTTTTGAGAATTAGAGTATTATCTAGTCTAGGAGTTTATTTTCGAATTTATCTAGTTAAATAAGTCATGTGGACTGAATTAAGCTAGAATGTTTTGATTAGGAGTCTTACATTCCTTCTAAGTATTATCCTATTTGAAGATAAGTCATTTAGATAAGGTTTCCTAGGTTTTAGAGATAAAATACTTTTCTACTTCTACTCCTGCGTGAGATAAGAGAGTTTTAGTTGGTCTTCTTTTTGGTGCTTTGGCCGAAATTCATAGCCTATAAATAGGGGGAGGGGGGTATGGCCGAAAGTTAAAGCACCCATGTGTGGTCATTTTGAGTCTTCTCTAATGAGAGTTTTTCCTGTGAGGAATTTTTGTTAAATTTTGTGTCCATTTGTCGCGTCAAGTATGATTTAACCAAGAGTGTTTTCATCTTTTCTTGGATCTTTTGATCTTGCAGAAACCATTCTTTTTCAAGTATGCTTTTTGATAGAATTATTCTAAAACTAAACTTCTTATTTTCATACAACTTCTAGTAGTTCGCGAGTTGAGCCTTTCTTTTGGCTATGGTTTTTGAATTTATGATGTGTGTGTTCATGAGTTCCATTGTGGGGTTTGTCCTACTTTTGTTGGATGAGTTGTGCTTTGGCATAAGCATTTTGAGATAGTGTATATGTTGTATATCTTTGTTGGTTATGGAGATTACTAATCAATAGTATTCCTTCATAATTGAGCATTGTTTGCTCCTACCTTTTTTGAGTCTCTTGAATGATGACTGATCGAGTATATTGAATGGTGTCCTTACTATTCTTAGTGTGGGTTGTTGTTTAATTGGAATCTTTCATAGATTATGTGTTCTTTGCTTGGTTTGAGTTAAAGAGATAGAATTCCTTAGATAAACGATCGTCTTACTGTGAATTTTCCGCACACTTTTGAGTTTCATGGGATAGACAAATTATCTTCGTACTTTTTTATTTGATGGTTGCATTAACGAAATTTACTTCATCTACGAAATTGCTATCAGTTTCTGGTATCAGAGCTTGAACTATCTAAGTGATGGTATTAATTGATATTATCATATCAGTTTTTATTATCAGTTTGATGTTTGAGAGATTTCTTTTTAATTGAGGACTTCATAGTTCTTGGTTTTGAGAATATCTTGAGTTACCACGAAATCCGTTACTTGGTGTGGTAATCAAGGTTTGTGCTACTAACGAGTAGTACTATCTTTATTTGTTTCAAGGTTCCTTCTTATTGCAGAATGGGTTTTGAAAAAATAAATCAAATTCTTGTGAAAACTACGTTTTCAAAATTGATCTTGTCTTTTGTGTGGTTGTGCGAGACTTCTTACACATTTGTTTGATCTTGTGATGTTATTTTGAGGTCTATGCGAGAGCTTGATGATGGTACATTGGTATCTAGTCAAAGTGGGCGCTACATCTTGAAATTTATCCTTGATTTACAAGTAGAGAACTGTTTCTCCTATGAGCAAATTAGTGGATCTTATGTGTTGAATCTTTAAGGAGAGCATTGATTCCAAAGAAGAGTTTATTGCTCGAGATAGCCTTTTCTTTCTAAAAGAGATGTCTTTACATGATGAGGGTTTGAGAGTTTATCTTGTTGTAAATATCGTGGATCTATTCTTTGAAAGGTGAAGTTGAGTGATTTTGTACTTTGTACATAAAGTATAAACGAAAAAGCCTTCCCTCTTGTTGGTTCTCATTTGAATCTAATGAGTAAAATGGAATTTATGGATTTTCAATCAATGAGAATTTCATAGAGTTCCAATTCTTTTTTATTATTTTGTTTAAATCTTAGTGTCAAAAGATTTTCAAAAGTAACAAATGTCAGTTTTTGGTTTTTCTCGAGTTCATACTTTGAGAATGAGTCGAATTAGTGGATCTTCCTATCATTGGACTTTCCATGATTCTTAATTTGAGTTTCAAAACTTTCTTTATGATTTGATGAAGAATGAATTTTAGTGATATCAATTTTGGTATCAAATGTTTAAAGGTCTTTGAAGTTGAATTGTGCCAACTTTAAGGGTTGAAGTCTTTGACTTGTGTTTAAAACCTTAATTTTCAAGAGTTGAATAGAGAATTAAGTGAAGTTTTACTAAAGATTTTCTTATTTATGACAAGAAATCTTATAGGCTTTGAGATATATTCTTGAAGTTTACATATTTGGTCTTTGGAAAATTTGATTTTTAAATGATCACTTATGAAGATGACCTTGTTGAGTCATTGAGTCGTAAGAATGGTTTGTGTTAAATTGAGTATTATGAAGCAAACGTCATAGTTGAATGAGGAACCTTAATTTCCAACTTCATTATACTTATGGTGTTCTTGTTACTTTATTTGCCATAGATTGTTTTGGTAAAAAGTAATTTTTGTTAATTCCATATACAATTTGGAAAGTGGTTTTTAGAAAGTATTCTAAAAGTTGTTGGACATTTTGGAAAGTGGTAATTTCCAAGTTTCCTTTTTAAAGTGGGTCAAAAGTAATTTTTCAAATTTTATCTATGTAGTAAAGAGTTAAATGTCGAAATTTTGCTGAATTTAAGCATGTATGTGCATATGATTTATGTGGAGTTCGAAGCCTAGTTAGTTTTTAATTTTAGAGTCATAGTATAGCCGAATTTTTGAGCTAAAAATTAGGGTTGCCTAGTCCTAGTTGAAGTTGAATTTTGGTTTTCTATCTGTTACACTTCAAGTCCTAAATGGTCTTGACTTTGTGTGTTCACATGGCCGGAAATTTTATCCCTAAAATTAAGGTCATTGAGTCCAAATTGTGTTATGGTTTGAGACCTATTTGGTCTTGGATTTTAGTGTTCACATTGGCCGAATTTTTTAGCCTTGTTTCCTAATGGTAATACAATTTTATTGTGTGTTTTATTTGAGTCCTACTTGGATTTAAATACTAATTTTTGCATGAGTTAAATTATAATTTCAGTGAAATTATAATTAGAGTTTTAAAGTGAGTCTATTTTCGAAAACTATTGAGATAAGGAAGTCTTATCTTAATTTGAAAATTTTTGAGTCTTTTAATACAATTGTGCTTGTGTTTGGCCGAAGTTTTTGAGTCCTATTTGTAGTAGGGGGTCAGATTTTTTGTCTCTAAATAGTAGGGATGAATCTTTCATTGTTTTATGACATAGTTCATAAGTTGTTTCCAAAAAGGATTATGATGACCTAAGTTTTAGGACTCTATCCTTTTATATATATATGTGTTGGCTGAATTTCTTCTTCTTATTCCATCTTGTCGACTGAAATTTTATCAATTTAAGGGGGGAATATTTTTGAGAAAATTTAGGTCCTATCTTGTAGGAGTTTTCTTGCACAAAAAGACTTGCATTGCCTATAAATAGGGGTGCTGTTTTTCAAAAATTCTCACACCACTCTACTCCATTCTTCTTCTTCTTCTTGCTGCCGAGATCACAAGGGTTTAAACAAGAGAAGCACTCTTCTCTTTGGTCTGAATTTTTGAGAGTTAGTGTTCTTAAAAGCACACGAGAGTTTTTGTTTTTAGGGAGAGCATTATTCGAACCTTCCTTTGGTTCTTGGGGGGTTTCCGCCGAACCATTCATTGGTTCAAGGGTTCAAGGAGTTTTTGCATAGTCACAAAGTGGTTTCTCAAAGTTATTGAGCAAAGATGTCATCCGGAGTTGCTGGTTGTACTCAAGTTGCTTCAAACAATGCAGAGGGTCGCATGGAGGCTCAAGTGCAGCTCATGGAGAGTCAAATTGACTACTTGCATGATGCTTTGGCCGAGGTGAAGGAGGCAAACCGAGACTTATCTCAATTTCTTTCAACTCAGCAAGATAAAGCTATGGTAAGTTTTGAGAAAATTGCTGAAAATTTAAGAGTCTTATGTGATCCTTTTGAAGTAAAACAAGTACCCTCATATGCTGGAATGTTGCAAGTGTTATTGCCTTTGTTTTATGGTTACCATAGAGACTATGATACTTAGGAGAAGAGCATAGAGAATTCGTTTGTATTGCTTAACATAGAGAAAGAGAGTGAGAAAATAGCCTTAGCTATAGGTTGTTTTCGTTCTAGTGCTTTGAATTGGTGGAAGCTAGTTTCAAATATATTCGCATCATTGGTATCGTAATTTGGATGATTGGCATGATTTGAGGAATGCTTTGCGAGAAAGATATGCTGGTACTAATACCTTTGATGAAGCAAAAGTGAATTTGCTCAATTGTAAGCAGAATTGTCGATCCATTCAATCTTACTTTGAGGAGTTAGAAGGCTTGTTTCTGAGTTCGGGTGTGGATAAGAACGACTACATGTTGACAGATCGTTTCCACTATGGCTTGAGCAAGGGGTTCAAACAACACCCAAAGATAAGGAGGCAATCAAGGCTCTATGAGGCATACTACACTGCCTTAGAAGTGGAAAGAGAGCATGATACTTCTTGTGGTCGGAATAGTCCAATTGAGGATCAAGGCTTGGTGTTTGGCGCTGAAGATGGTGTCAACGGATATGTATCTTCCGTACTAAGTGTTCGGTTGGGTGGTCCAATGAAGTTGATTTGATAATCGATGGTGGATCGAGTACTGATTGTATAAGTGAGGAATTTTGCATAGCAAACGAAATCAAGATGGATCCGCATACTAGACCATACAAACTTCAATGGTTGAGTGAAAAAATGGTTGTGGATGTCACTAAGAAGGCCATGGTATCTTTTCAAGTTAGTGAGTATAGGGATGAAATTTACTTTGATGTAATTCCTGTGTCTCATTGTGATGTTTTGCTAGGTAGGCCTTGGCAATCAGATATAGATGATGTGCACCATTGCCCGAAGAATATCTTTGTCTTTACTAAAGAGGACAGAAAATATATTCTTAAGCCTTTGGCTTATGAAGAAGCTGAGTCTGTCCGAGAGAAAAGACGTAAGATAACCTATGCACAAGGGAGAAAAAAAGTCAAGAGAGTGACGCAAGAAAGTAAAAAGGCTACACTCAGGTAAGACTTGAGGCGAGAGAAAACCATGAAAATAGCGTGGAAACAGAAAAAGAAGCACGCAATGAGAAAAAATCAGAGTGTGGTGAGGGTGAGGATTTTACTAACACTTATATCTCGTTTGTTCCTTGTGCAGGTTTAGAGGTTGATGATTCAAGGACGAATCCTCTTAAAGAAGGAGGAGATGATGAGAATCATATAGCCTTCCATGGTGATTCTCCTAGTGAGGGGAATTAGCTAGTCCTTCATTCTAGTTTTAGTTTACTTTGCAGGCCAATCAAGGAAGAAAGGATGGATCTTAACTACATATGTGATAGGGAGTTGGTTCAAGGGAGCTATGATCAAGATGATGAGAATGTCATTAACTTTGGGGTTCAAACCAAAGGAGATGATGCACTCATGGAAATAAGTGCTCAAGAGTATCAAGGAAGTTTGACTCTAGGTGCTCCATGAAAGATCATTGATCAAGCTAGAGAGAAGAATCATTTAGGTTCTTGAATGGACGGCCTATTTGATCAAAGTATGCAAGATTGAGTCCATTGCTACACAATTGGATAGGTTGCAGACTTTCTCAATTGTTTCAAGTGTTTTTCCAATCTTTTGGAGTCAATAAAGAGAATTCTACAAGTTTTGGAGTAAATTAGAGTTTTCTACAACTTGAGGGGTGCAAGACCAATATTCCACTTTTGGAAGGGCGTTCAAGGCATTTTACTTCAATATTTGGAGCTGATTTTCGAGAATTAGAGTATTATCTAGTCTTGGAGTTTATTTTCGAATTTATCTAGTTAAATAAGTCATGTGGTCTGAATTAAGCTAGAGTATTTTGATTAGGAGTCTTAGATTCCTTCTAAGTATTATCCTGTTTGAGGATAAGTCAATTAGATAAGGTTTCCTAGATTTTAGATAGAGTCAAAGAGATCAAATACTCTTCTACTTTTACTCCTGTGTGAGATAAGATTAGAGAGTTCTAGTTGGTTGTTTTTTTGGTGCTTTGGCGGAAATTCATAGCCTATAAATAGGGGGGGTATGGTCGAAAGCTAAAGCACCCATGTGTGGTCATTTTGAGTCTTCTCTAACGAGAGTTGTTCCTGTGAGGAATTTTTGTTAAATGACGTGTCCATTTTTCGTGTCAAGTATGATCTAACCAAGTGGGTTTTCATCTTGTCTTGGATCTTTTGATCTTGCAGAAACCGTTCTTTTTCAAGTATGTTTCTTGATAGAAGTTTTTTAAAACTAAACTTCTTATTTTCATACTACTTCTAGTAGTTCGAGAGTTGAGCCTTTCTTTTGGCTATGGTTTTCGAATTCATGATGTGTGTGTTCATGAGTTCCATTGTGTGGTTTGTCCTACATTTGTTGGATGAGTTGTGCTATAGCATAAGCATTTTGAGATAATGTTTGTATTACATATCTTTGTTGGTTATGGAGATTACTAATCAATAGTATTCCTTCATAGTTGAGTATTGTTTGCTCCTATCTTTCTTAAGTCTCTTGAATGATGACTGATCGAGTATATTGAATGGTGTCCTTACTATTCTTAGTGTGGGTTGTTGTTTAATTTGAATCTTTCATAGATTATGTGCTCTTTGCTTGGTTTGAGTTAAAGAGATAAAATTCCTTATATAAACGATCGTCTTACTGTGAATTTTCCACACTCTTTTGAGTTTCACGGGATAGATAAATTATCTTCGTACTTTCTTGTTTGATGGTTGCATTAACAAAATTTGCTTTATCTACGAGATTGCTATCAATTGGTCTCACCATAATTGAGGTATACTATCTTTGACACCAATTCACATACACAGACTATTTCGCCGCCCTATTTTCTGACTTAAGCTTCGGAGTGTCTACCCTCGGGAGGACCCGAGGCTCTGTTTTGCAGGAAATCCTAAACCGGAGTTCCACCACTAGACCGCAGGTGCAATTCCGGGTATCATCAAGTGGCACGCCCGGTGGGACCCGAGAATTAGGGTTTGTGTCACAAAGTTTTCCCAAGCTTTCAAAACCTTTTTGATCCGTTGCTACCACTCCATGCTAAGGTTTTTTCTAAGATACAATAGCTATCATTGATTATCCCCAATCCAGTACCGCATCAACCAGTAGGCGTGAAAGCCCCAGTCATGATAAAACCCTAGCAAGATTCCATGAGAGACAGAAGTGGAAAAAAAATGACCAGCAGCCGAAAAAAAAGATATCCCCCACAAAGCCAACCAATCACGTAGATGAGGGGGAAGGAGATCTAGAAACTCATCACAAAGTTTCTGATCCGTACCAAAAAACAGCAGCTAGCCGAGATTGAAAAAGAACTGAAAAATTTGAATGACAGCAAATCCCTTAATCAGAGGAAAAGAAATATATACTAGAGGAATACTAACGTTGTTGTTTACTTGGCCTCCCAGACCCTACGGATCAAGAACTGGAAGATCTGGTCGAGGAGAAGGAGGCGAAAAGAACGTTGGCTCTCCTCGAGGTAAGGCGAGAAAAACGGAAAGTCCCGGGTGAAGGGAGAGAAGAGTTGCACAAAGAAGCCCGTAATCGCGAAACTTCTCACGTTGGGGCCTCCGAAAATCCTGGTGACAGCTTTTGGGAGACCCTCGAGAGAATAAATCCGGCGATTTTTGCAGCGATTGAACAATTTGCGAAAGAACATCAACAAAAAAAACAGTCTCACCGCCAACCTAGCCCGCGGTCACCCAGCGTTGAGGAGTTGTCGAGGAGTGGAAATCTCCCCCGAGAGGTGTCGTCCACTCTCGATTGGGACCTAAAACCCCTCCAAAGAAGTCTTATCACGACCACCGTGTTACTCAGAACAACTCAAGATACATACCTTATGGCCATCAGAGGTATGATGTTCCCTATACTGAGGACCCCTAATATACTAGACATCGAGCGAACCAAGGCCGCAAAGACCCGTCCATTCGCGACTCGATGAGAAGAATGATAGGAATGATCGTGGACAAGAGTCCCTTTGTCTCACGGATCCGAGACTATCTGAAACCCCGAGACTTTGACTTCCCAAAAGACTTCGTCAATTACTCGGGAGACACTGACCCACAGTGGTTCTTGCAAAAGCATGTGCAAGTCATGAGAATCTGAAACGTGTCTCTCGACTTCATGGCCAAAGCTTTACCGTCCTTCCTCGATGGACGAGCACAACGTTGGTTTGGACAGCTACCGGATGGAAGCATCGATAGCTTCGAGGACTTATCCGTGATACTAGCCACGCGCTTCTTCCCTAGCAAGCAAATTAAAAAAATGTCAATTGATCTGGCGTCGATCAAGCAGGGACAAAACGAGAGTCTCTCGGATTTCCATCACCGTTTTACTCGAGAATCCCTCCAAGTAGACTACCTCAATGACAAAGATGTCCAAAACAGATTCATCCAAGGCCTCAACCCATGGGGAAAGTCTGCTCACCTCCGGGTGAAACTAACCACCAAACCTTCACGAAACACACAGGAGATGTGGGCCACAGTGGAGAGCTATAACCAGCGCGAGCAGACACTCAAGCGATCACAAGAATCCTTCTCGCTTGCAGGAGATCGAGGGGGAAGGGACAAGTACAAGTCAACGACGGAGAATAAATCACCCTTGCATAGGCTCGACAGGACCTTAACCTCGTTGTTGAAGCCTCGACGAGAAATACTTCAGATTCACAAAGATGAGTTCCCCACTCCAAAACTATTAGCTCATAACCCGAATAGGTCTACAATTCAATACTGTGAATACCACAAAGACCACGTGCATGATACGGAAGATTGCAGGGAACTCAAGCAGGAAATTGAAGTAGGGGTCAAATCTGGAGAGTTTCAGCAATATGTAAAAAACACACAAGGTACTCCTCGAGATAAGGGAGGAAAATTCACGGTGCCCCGTAACTTCCCTAGGCGGAACAATAATTGCGGCCCTCGAGGAGATAACCAAGGAAACAATTGGCAGCAGAGGAATAACTCGCAGCAACCTGTCCAACAATCCCTGGACGGAGAGCCACAGCCAATTCAACAAGTTCTCCCTCCTGATCCAACCAAACAAATCACTCACAACGTAGGAGCTATCTACAGTGGACCCCTTGAGGTCTTATCCACAACAGCAATGAAAGCATCACTTCGAGAAGTAGCTAAGACGCCGCCTCAAGAACCAAGTCACAAACGTTTCAAGGGCATAGAGGCAATAGTTTTTTCGGACAGTGATGTTGTACCGGGCATTTGTCCACAGTGACACAATGGTTATCGAGGCTATCATAGGAAACGTCAAAGTAAGTCGAGTATATGTCGATAACGGAACCGCGGTGGATATAATATATAGTGAGTGTTTTAAGAAGATGAATGTAAAAAATCCAGATTGGCGTCCCGCAACATTACCACTAATGGGCTTTTCAGGGCACACGATAATCCCTAGTGGGATTGTCAGGCTTCCTATCACGGTAGGGTCGCATCCTCGAATGGTAACTCTAACAATAGATTTCGCCATAATCGATGCACCCTCGCCAGTTAATGTGATCCTAGGATGGCCGTGGATGTGTCAGGCCCGCGCTGTTTGGTCACCCTACCACTTAGTCATGAAATTTCAAACAGAATATGGGATAAGAATTGTGCAGGGAAGCCAGCGCAGTTCTCGAGAATGCCTACTCACAGCAGTGAAGATTTGGAAGAAAACAGTAAAGCCAGAGTTAGGTATCACCATGTCGGGGTGTTATTCTGTTCAACAGGGAGTACCACCAATCGAATGTAAAGGGGGAGAACAGGACATGGATCTTGACAATCCCCGGTAGCCACCACTAAGAAGTAAAACAGAACAATTGATCCTGAACGAGAAAGAGCCGGAAAAGACAATCAAGCTTGGAATATCTATAAGCGAAATCTTGCAAGTCGAGGTAATCACCTTACTATGGGAATTTTGAGATATCTTTGCTTGGTCGCCATCTGATATGATCGGGGTTCCCCAAGAAGTCATCGACCACAGGTTGAATGTAAACCCCAATGTCAACTCAGTCAAACAAAAAAAGAGAATTTTTGCCCGCGATTGCAATGACGTCATCAACGAGGAAATGCTCAAATTGGTCCGTGCCAACATACTCCGGGAGGTCCTTTGGCCAACGTGGCTGGCCAACCCCGTCCTTGTCCGGAAAGCGGATAATTCTTGGCGCATGTGTTAGGATTACACAGACCTTAATAAACACTGCCCTAAAGATTGTTATCCTTTGCCCGTCATTGATCAGATGGTCGAGAGGATAACTGGCTTTAGAACGCTTAGTTTCCTCGACGCATATAAAGGATACCACCAGATCCTTATGGCTCGAGAAGATGCAGAGAAAACGGCTTACATCAAAGAAATTGGAGTGTACTGCTACGACAAAATGTCTTTTGGCTTAAAAAATGCCGAAGCCATCTAACGGCATCAATAGAGCTTTCCACGACCAAATCGGGCAAAACATCGAAATTTATGTAGATGACATGGTCATAAAGAGCAACCTCGACGACAGGGTAGTCGAGGACATGAGGGAAATTTTCACAATTCTTTGGGCAATTAACATGAAGTTGAACCCGAAGAAGTGTACTTTATACATTGGCTCCAGAAGTCGGAATAAGCGTTGATCCCGCAAAAGTCGAAGCAATTTTTTTCATGGAAGCCCCAAAAACAGTAAAAGAAGTGCAAAAGCTTACGGGATCCCTGGCGGCATTAAACAGGTTCCTATCTCGAGCTGCAGAAAGGAGCCTACCCTTTTTCAAGACATTGCGAAAAGGAAGGAGTTTTGCGTGGACTGAAGAATGTCAGAAAGCCTTCCAGGACATGAAAGAGCATCTGAAGCAACTTCCTATGTTAGCTAAACTGGAGCCGGGAGAAACCCTATACGTTTATCTGGCTGCTCGAGAAACTGCCATATCCGCGGTTCTCATCCAGAAAAAAGACGACAAAGAAATCCCGGTTTACTTTGTGAGCAAAGTCCTACAGGGGGCAGAATCTCGATACACCCCCATGGAAAAACTGATCCTAAGTCTGGTACTCGCTGCTCGACGGCTTCGTCCCTACTTCTAAGCTCACCCGATTCAAGTCTTAACCGAACAACCTATACAACAAGTTCTTCTCAAGCCTGAGACTTTGGGCAGAATGATGAAATGGGCCATCGAGCTAGGAGAGCACCATATCGAGTATAAGCCTAGGTCGGCTATAAAAGGGCAGGCATTTGTGGACTTCCTTGTCGAGACGCCCCGCACTTCAAATAGCATGCCGGAGCCACCACCAAAAACACCACCGTAGAAACACACTCCCATAGATCCGCAGGTCTGGATTCTCTATGTCGACGGCTCATCTTATGAGGATGGAGGAAGAGCTGGAATTATATTGGCCAAACCAGCTACGTCACAAGATATCGAAGAGATGAGGGAATATGAGGCTGAATATTCCTACACTCTGAGGTTTGGTGTCCCGGTAACCAACAATATGGCTGAATATGAAGCAATGATAACAGGGTTAAACATGGCTCTAAGGTTAGGAGTCCAGAATTGGGAAGTTTTTAGCGACTCCCAAGTGGTAGTTAAACAAATTCATGGCGATTACACTGTCCGTGAAGAGCATTCCGGCTATACCTTGAAAAAGTCCTCGAGCTCAGGAGTAAGTTCGAGAAATGTTCTATCTCCCACATCCTCAGAACCAGCAACAAAAGAGCCGATGCCCTGAGTAAGTTAGATTCGTCTAACTTCGCACAATTAAGTCATAAGGTGTGGGTCGAAATGCTCCCCGAACCTAGCATTTATCCTCGAGTCTCTCTCACTATCACAGACGAGGGTGACACATGGATGACTCCATTCATACGGTTCCTCGAAACCGGGGTGCTACCCGACAACAAGTCAGAAGCTCGAGCCCTGAAACTGAAAGCAGTCAAGTAGACACTGAGGGACAGAATCTTGTATAAGCACGGGTATTTGTTGCCAATGCTACGGTGTATCGGCCCCAGAAAAGTAGCCTACATCCTCGAAGAAGTTCACGAGGGTTCATGTGGCGCCCATATGGGAGCAAGAGGAATAGCTAAAAAGGTTCTTCGAGCAGGATACTTTTGGCCGACAGTTTTCAAAGACGCATACCAATTCATGCAAAAGTGGGATAGATGTCAACGGTTCTCGCCTATCACCTGATAGCCACAACACGAGATGGTCACTATCCAAAGCCTATGGCCATTCTATCAGTGGGGCACTGACATCATCGGCCCTTTTCCAAAAGGGGTGGGAGGTCTATGATGGTTCATCGTGGCAGTAGACTATTTTACCAAATGGGTAGAAGCAAAGCCGTTAGCCTTGATATCCGAGAGACAGGTGTTGAATTTTTTCTGGCAAAACGTGGTTTGCCATTTTGGAGTGCCCAGGGTAATTGTATCGGACAAGGGGACTCAGTTTGAGAGTGATCCGTTCAAATCATGGTGCGAGGATATGCAGATCGAGTGCTGATTTTCCGCGGTTGCTCATCCCCAGGCAAACGGCCATGCTGAGTTGATTAACAGAACTATTTTACATGGAATCAAGACTAGGTTGCACAGCGCCAAAGGTGCTTGGGTTGATGAACTCTCTCACGTTCTATGGGCATATCGCACTACAGCTCACTCTTCTACGGAGGAGACACCTTACAGTCTGGTCTATGGAATGGACACGGTTCTCCTAGTGGAAATCGGTCTCCCCAGTCCTTGAACAATCAGCTTCGTCGAGACGACCAATAACGAAGATATCCTGACTAACCTCGGCCTGCTCGAGGAATAGCGAGACGCCGTAAAAGTCCGGGAAGCCAAGTACAAAGAAATCCTCAGGAAACACTGTAATAAGTGAGTCAAGAGCACTGACCTCGCAGTCGGGGATCTAGTACTCAGGAAAAATGAAGCCAGTCAAGCAGAAGCCCAAGGGAAGTTATCAGCAAATTGGGAAGGACCTTATTGTGTCATTCAGGTCTCCCCATCTGGAAGCTATCGACTGCAGACAACAAATGACACAGAGACCACTCTTCCTCGTTGGTGGAACATTCAGAACCTTCGCAGGTTCTATGTCTAAATTATTATATGCTATGTGCTATTTTGCTTGCTCTATGACCTGTTATTTTCACTTCCTTCGTATATAATGCTATCATAGGTCCCCGAGCAATTATCAATAAAAGTCATTACATAGTTTTCATACTTTACATGTGATGACACTGTTTGATGACTAGTCAGTGAAATGGACACCCTCTTTAGGGCCATCCTCGATCGTGCCGTGTATTCAACATCGGGACACATAAACCGAGGACCTTTCCTTGTATCCACCGCAGATCGCGATAATATTTTATCAAGGGACCCGTACCTGGTTCCTCGACAGCACCATGTACTTTACATCTGGCCCATAAAGTGGTTATACAAATCGTGACTCGAGAACATTTACTTAATCGACGCTTATACAAGCTCGAAATGATTGTATTACACCACTATACATTTAAATTGTCTAAACAAGCCTGAGGTGAATGTATTACAAAACTATACATTTAAATCTTAAGGTTTTTTCCTCTAGGGTTGACTCGGGAAGGCTTAATAACCCCAGAGAACCCGATGGCTCTAAGCTAGTTAATACAATGGCCTAGCTTATCCTTCAAGTCTACTATCTCCTAGTTTTCTTCGTTGATTCTAAGCAGGTATTCCTCAGTCACGGTCCTTTCTTTCGCCACCTCATTTGGATAAAGATCGTTAAAAATGGGTAGAGTGATTTCATTGTCGACCAATATGTTCTGTAGAACAGCAACCTGTTTAGAGTAGAACTCTGCTTCTTTGGTCCTCCTCTTTAAGAGATCAATGGCTGCTATAAAGCGCTCTGTCCGGACTTCTATCTACTTCTCGACCAAGGCGAGCAAGTCAAATTTCTCGAGGAACCACGGAGATATCGTGATCTTCTCTCACTTCCTCAGTCGAGCCTTTTCGTCCTTCAGCCTTTTCATCTCATCGCTGATGTTCGCCTCTAGAATCATGGAGTCCTGGAAGTGGAGGTCATACTGATGGAGTCGACGTCTCCACTCCTCCTCCTTCTGCTTAAAACGCCAAACTAAGCGAGAATGTACTTGCACGTTATAAACTTGAATAGCATCCACAATTTCTTTCTCGGGTGCTCCCACTATGGAAGTATTGAGGACGTTCCTGAATTTTCGTAATGCTGATGAAATCATGGCGTACATAGCGAACGATCTGATCTCTTCTTCCTCAAGAATCATCAGGTGCACAGTGTGGACGTAATACGGCTCCTGGCATAATCAGTAAGGATGCTCTAAAAATGACAAAAGGAAAAAGAGGAAAGGGTACTCCATAAATCCCAAATTAATAGAATCCATTCACACAACACTACAGGAAGCTAAGGTCTACAGCCCAAGTAGCAAAAACCCTGTTACAAGATAAGGCCTCATACAATGTTTGGGTTGGGCGGGACATTTGGTTGGCTCTCGTTGGCTTCTTCTGCAGGATTCTCTGTCGGGGGCACCTCCTTCTCCGCAGTCGGATCCTTCTCGACTTCAGGCTCCTGGCCTTCCTCTTCTTCTTCCTTGACCCTTTCTGAGGAGTCATCATCAGAGACCAGCTCGACGCCGATAAAATCTTGGTCAAGCTTTGGTACTCGCATCTCTTCCCCGGGTTCAGTAGGTAGCACTGTTGCGGTATCTCATTCGAAGGTGGTGATCTCCAAGGGTGAACCCATTTGGGGGATAGCATCCGCATAAAGGCCCAAATAAAGGGAGCTGCTCGGTGGACAGATGCAACAATCCATTCTGCATTGCTTCGTGAAGGGTCTTTCGAGGGTGAGGCTTCACAAATTGTTGCAGCCAGCCAGCATTGACATGCTTTCCTGATTCCATTCTCTCCAAAGCAGCAAAGGCCACGCCATGGCCACCCAACGCGATAGCCGCCTCACTGATGCCCACCATGACGTTGGCCATTCCTCCAGTAGGCATCATCCCGGCCCAAAAGGCAGTCATCCATTCCTGCAATTTTGCCTTGGGGATATGGGTTTCCCCATATTCTTTCAGCTTGGCCTCCAGATCCCTGTGCATAGCTTGGTCCTGGCTAGCTCTTCCTCCTTAGCAGCTCGAATTAGCTGCTCCTTCTTCCTTGCTTCCTCGTTAATCGCCTTCTCATGCTTAAGGAACCCCTTCTCGAGCTCCAAGCTGGAGATCTCCTCCCTTAGCTTCTTCTTGCGCATGAGAATGCTCGCCAGAGAGGTGGTTAGCTACTAAGATTGCAAACAAAAGATCAGCGATCGAGACACCAGTTATAAGCAAGGAATGTAAAAGGCACGTGTGAAGGCAACATTTACCATCTTCAAGGCTTCCTCATCCGTCATTGTTTCAGCCAATTCTTCGATTATGGGGCATTCAATTCTGTCATCCCCAAAGTGAAGTATGGCAGCGGCTGCGGTGTAGGACGATGACCCGGGAGAAGCGTCTAGATTCTCAGCAGCATCCTTCGTCCAAGATAGCGACGGTGTTGTAGTTGCGAACCAGAAGGGGTCTCGCCCTGTGTTCAGGTTCCCATTTTTCTCCGGGGGGACACTGCTCTCGATAGTTCTATCCCCCTCGACGGGAGCATCCACCTCGACGGGCCTGTTTTCCTCAAGAGGTATGTTGTCCTCGACGGGCCTATCCTCCTCGACCGAGGCGGCATCCTTGGTTGGTCCTCCCTTTTCAACTGCTAGAGTCTGCTTCTTCTTCTTCTTCTTCTTCAACTTAGCGCTTGCTTCGGACGCTTTTACCAATCTTCTCAGCTTCATCTTCTTGCCGACTTTGGTGGAAGATCCTTCGTCATCTGAATTTTTAATATCAAAAATCTTGGGTGTCACCAAACAAGCCAACGGTGTTCTTGCTCGACGACATAGCCTGGAACAAAAAGAATACACAAGAGAAGTTAGTACCTTTTTCATCCACGACAGGGATTGGGGGAGCCTGTACAAACAAGAAATTTGGCTTCCACATTGGAGAACCATCGAAGAGTTCTATTATCTACTTCGCTCCCGGCCTAGGATTCCTCTTGACGTTATACCAGTCCTTGTATTTCCTTAAGGGAACACAAGCCTTCTTTAACTCCACACTAATAATCGACGTTCAGCCTTCTTTAACTCACAAAGCCTCGCAAATCCGAGGACGGCCGATATCAAGTTCGGTGTAAATCAAGCAAGGGGAATCTGGTAATATTGAACTATTTCTCCGAATAGGGGGTATAGGGGAAATCTTAGCCCTAAGAACATAAACCTATCAAATATGGTTATTTTTCCTTGTGGAGGTGTAGTAGCCTTTTATGTGCCTAAAGATGCTCGATAATCTAGATATATGGGAAAATCGTATTTTTTGGCTATGGCCCAGGGTTTATCAATAGAGTTTATGGTGGAAGCGAAGTCGGAGACTGTGCGTGCAGCCATATCTACCACCGTATATGTTAAGGCAATAAGCTTCAGGAAAAATAAAAACAACAGCATACACTAATAACAAGAGGGTTGAAGGACTTACTTTTATTAGAATTTGAGGGTTGCCCTTCGTCTAGGATGATGGGTCTTCTCAGTTATAGCAGGTTGTGCAATTTCTGACGGCAGAACAAGCGATTAAGTAGCAATAGATGATGCGTACGGGCAGGAGAGGTGCTTCTAGGTTTTCATATTCAGAGTTTTGAAAAAAGGAGAAAGAAAAGCCCTTGTTTTCCTTCTTGATATAAACGAATTTCTCTCCCACGTTTCGATAGTTTGGGCGGGATTCAACGGCAGTAATGATGACACGGCCATTGTTTGGGAAACGTGCATATTATCAGGGCAAGATTTCGGTTTAGGCGGGATTCCTGAATCGGGCGGCCTTCTCGGTTCAGGCCTTAACCCGTGCATAATTCATTTGATCCATTTTGTACCCATTGGGCTGAGACTTGTCCAATCAATCTTGCTTCATTCAACTTGGCTGAGTCAAGGTATTATTTATTTTGTGTCAAGTCTTGTTTATTCATACAATCAACACTTGACAGGGGCACTTGACGAGTCCATATCCACAAAGGATTACTGGACCGGCCCATCCACCAATTAAGGCTTACTGGCCTTGTAGAGGCGGTTCAAGAATATGCATCCTAATGGGATTCGGCTTCCCTGGAGGTAATTCCGTGCCTATAAATAGGATTGGTCTCACCACAATTGAGGTACGCTATCTTTGACACCAATTCACATACACAGACTATTTCGCAACCTTATTTTCTGACTTAGCTTCGGAGTGTCTACCCTCGGGAGGCCCCGAGGCTCTATTTTGCAGGAAACCCTAATCGGAGTTCCACCACTAGACCGGAGGTGCAATTCCGGGTATCGTCAGCTACTGATCTACACTACTCAAAAATTCTGATTTCCATCTCTGATCTTCTATCTCCTCTACAATGTTCCACTCGCCATCTGACCTCCTTTTTAATCTCATTAAGTAGCATCGCTTCAGACTTGCTAATACCAAAAAAAGTTCTCCTATTCCGCTCTATCCAAATATGATAAACCAATGCTGCCAAAGTAGTAAAGATTATGTTTCTACTTAGTGACTGTTTTTTCCATCTTCTTAGCACTCTATGTCTCCATTAGGAATGCTGTATAGGCAGATCAGGTATTCCCAGTCAAGTTGTAGGTGCCTTTAACAAACTAGTAGAATAGCTACACTCAAAGAATAAGTGAGCTAAAGTCTCCTGGGAACTCTGATACAGCACACAATCATGCGTACCCCTGAACATATTCGTATGTGCTAATCTATCTTTTGTGAGAATCCTGTTCCTCCAAACTAACCAGAGAATGAAAGAGTGTTTAGGAACGTTGTACTTGGACCATATGAAAGTAGCAGCAGGCATTTTTCTGCTACCCCCATAAGCCAGTTATACCCTGAGGTTATAGCATATTTCCCTGATGGAGTATGTCGCCATTTAGTCCCTTCAAACTCATGCTTGACTTTCTCCTTCAGCTTTAGCAATCTTGACCAATGCCAACTCAAACTCGGTTTCGGGATCATTTGCCAGAAGTCGTGGTCCTTTATGTACTGCTCATGTACCCATTTGATCCAGAGGTTATCTTCCTTTTTCGCTATGTTCCATACTTGTTTTATCAACGCAGCATCATTCTATTTCTCAGCATCTTTGATGTTCAAACCGCCATTGCTTTTCTTCTGACAGACATACTCCCAGCTAACCAGTGATGTACTTTTTCCCTGGTCCTTCACACCCCAAAGAAAGCACCTGCAGAGCCTATTGATTTGGTGGGTTATACAATGTGGGAGGACAAACATTGAGGCCTAGTAATTACTCATGGCCATCAAAATAGAATTACTAAGTTGCATTCTTTCTGCATAACTAAGCATTCTCGAACTCCAGCATTTGATTTTAGTAGCAATTTTTTGAACCAGCATCTCACAGTCAATCTATGCCTTGGAGAAATTGGCACACCCAAATATTTCATGGGGAAAGTGCCAACCCTAAACCCTGTAATCTCACATAATTGCTGTCTCAGCTCCTCATTCACACCACTAAAATAAATCTCTGATTTTGCAGGATTAGCAACAAGGCCAGTTATATCAGAAAACTTTTAAAGTACAGCCACTATCTTAGAAATAATATAAACATCCACTTTGTAGAAGATCATTAGATCATCTGCAAAGCAGATATTCGTCAATTTCATGCCTTTCCATTGAGGATGGAATTTAAATCTAACATCCTCTGTGGCTTCCTTCATTAATCTAGTTAGATATTCCATAGTTAAGACAAATATCAAGGGAGACATGGGATCCCCCTGTCTTAACCCCCGTCTCCCTTCAAAATAACCACAATTTTCCCCATTCAAATAGACAGTATATGTAGGAGTTTTAACACATTCCATAACCAGTTGAGAAAAAGAGTTAGGAAAACCGTACCCAACCAGCATTTTAGCTATGAAGCTCCACTCTACCGAGTCATAGGCTTTGCAAATGTCGATCTTCATTAAGCATCTGCTGGTAGCATTCTTCCTTCCATAGAATTTTATCAAGTCCTATGTGAGGAGTACATTGTGCAATATCAAGCGGTTAGCAACAAACGCACTTTGATTCGAGTCAACTAAGTCCCCAAGCACCCGTTTTAACCTGTCACAAATTATCTTCGAAATACATTTATAGACCACATTGCAACATGCAATGGGTCTATATTCTGATGCATCCTGTGGAGCTTCATTCTTAGGTATAAGAGACAACATTGTCTCATTAACCTGCTTCAATAATTTACCATTCGAAAAAAATTCTAGGACAACTTTGGATATATTCTGTTGCACTACTGGCCAGGCTGCTTTAAAGAACCCGCTCCCAAAACCATCGGGACCGGGGATTTTACTGCTGTTTATACTCCATATTACTTTTTTCACTTCCGTTGAGCTCACCTTTTGTATCAGTTTAATTTCCTGGTGCCATTTTAGAATTGGTCCTCTTGCAAAGATCCCATCTTGTGCTACCTCCTTTTTGTTACTCTGACCAAGTTGAGTTTGAAAGAATCCAATAAAATGATTTTTCACCTGATTCCAATCTGTAACCACCTCTCCTACTGCATTTACATAAGAGCTAATCCTGTTTTTCATCGTTCGTATCCGCATTCTGGATGGAAGTATGAACTATTAGAATTCCCCAACTTCAACCACTTTTGTTTTGCTTTCTAATGCAAAAAGCTCTCTACTGCTTTGCTCACTACAATGTATTTTCCATACAGTTCTTTTTCCTGCCTGTGTAATTCTTCATCCATCAGATTGCCACTGATTTTAGTTTGGACTTCCTGCAACTGGATCATTACTTGCTGCATTTGGTTCTAAATGTCTGCAAATGAATCCTTGTTAAGTCTTTTTAATGCAGGTTTGAGTCTCTTCAGCTTCCGTACTAGTTGAAACATTTGAGTTCCCTCAACAGGCTGTTGCCATGATTCAGATACCACTTGCACGAAATTCCGGTCTTGGCTCCACATATTGAAGAACTTGAACGATTTAGGCTTTGTCTTGCCTTCATCATTCAGCTTCACTGGTAGAGGAGAGTGGTTACAAAACGCCCTCCGGTAACACAATTACACTGGATTGGAAGTATTTCATCACCCAGCAACCATTGATCAACACTCTATCAATTTTGGAATATATTCTGGCTGCACCGACTTGTTTATTGCTCCATGTAAACTTTGGTCCTTGTTGCTTTAGATCCTGGACCTCACATTCTTCAACACAATATTGAAATCCTCTTATCTCAGCAAGGCTAACTGTATTGCCTCCCACCCTTTCATCAATAGCAAGTACGTTGTTGTAATCTCCTACCGCAATCCAAGGTTCATCTATGCTACCTACAAGATTGATCATTTCCTCCCACAACAATTCTCTTTCTATCAACAGATTTGAGCCATAAACTGCAGTAAGATAAAATCCTTCACATCGGTTCAAAACTTCCACCCAACAGTGAATATACTGCTCATCTTGTTTCAAACATCTCACTTTAATAAAGCTATTCCAGATAATAATAATTCTTCCCCTGTCTTGATGCTGACTGTTGCTTAACACCTCATACCCGACCCAATGTTTACTCATCATCTCCACCACTCTACTACTATCTAATTTTGTCTCTACTAAACATATTATATGAACTGAATGAAAAGTACTCAATCGCTTGACTTCTTTTTGTTTGATGGGACTATTCAAGCCCCTAGGGTTCCAATGTAATAGATTAAGCATCTATACCTGGATCAAATGGATTTCCCCTCCGAGCATTATCCTGCTGCTGCATTGATCCAGAGTCCTCCTGATTTACACTTTCATCATCATGTTTTGCTCCTGGTATCTCATCAGCTATATCAATCCGAACCCTGAAACCATTATCTTTATGAATATCTGTTTTTATGCTGGTTTGCTTCATTTCTTTGCTCCTTGTTGCATCATTACTAGTATCCTCATGAACAGGTTGCTCCATTACTGTATCAGGTTTTTGATCCTTTCTATTCACTCTCCTCCACTCCAATTTCTCTACTTCTTTTTCTGGCTTTTTCGCAGTATTCATCTGGTCTTTACTTTCTGCAATTTTTCTTCTACAGTCTTCCTCCCCATGTCCATAGTTCTTGTAGTAGCTACAAAGGGTGGGTCGCCATTCATAATAAACATGTTGTTCAATCAAGCATCCATGTTCATCTACAAAGTGCGCCACAAGTGGAGGCTTCTCTTGGATTTCCACATCAATCAAGACTCGAGCAAAGATTGCTCTGTCTTTCTCAGTTGTTAACATATCAGCAGCTATAGGCTTACCTAGGGTGCTGACTATTCTTCCTAACGTGCCTGGATTCTAGAATTTCAATTCAAGTCCATGGAATTGCACCCAAACAGGAACGTAGTTTACCTCTTTGTGATTAACTCTTTTCTCAACATTCCATGGTTTAACTATAACAGGATTAGCTCCTAGATAGTTTATAGGTTCAGCCATAGCCTCATCTACTGCATCCATTGTATTAAATCATAACAAAGATACCATTTAGAAGTCGTAGTACCTTTTCCACTCCCAGATGTTTCCAGATCCTCTGATAGTAGTTCTCCTTGACCTTGTATGGCGGATTAGCCCCAAGAACGAAGCTGATTACAGACGTTTTCCAATACTCCATCTCAGCTTTGACATGTGGTTCATGTGCAAACACAATCAGTTTCCCTTCTTTCTCCATAGGCTCAACATAATCCAACGGGACTCCACCTTTGCGCAATTTTTTGACATAAAACTTTTCCCAAACTGAAACCCTAGTTCGCTTCTCTTTCTCCATCTCCGTTGACCAATCCAATTTTTCGATCAGAGGTGATACCTATTAATTCACTGAGCTTCTTTAATTGTTGCTGTAGATTCATCTCCATGCCACAATCTTTTTGTACTTTTGGTGTAGATCTCTCTTTGCCAATCCCAGATGACCCAACTCCTTGGTTTCAATCTGCCATTTGGTTCACTATTTTCTCAAAATCTTTCGGTATAGACTCATGCGCCGCCTTTCCGTTAACAATCTTCGGCTCAATTGGGACCTTCTTCCCCTTAGGTCTCCCCCTTGCCATAGCTGGCATAGATTAGATAACCTTGCTTACCATACGCCGAGAGAGAAAATTAAGAGAGAGAGCGAGAATTTGATTTTTACAACTTAATACAAATTTTTATTATGTCAAGAGCTTTGGAGTTGTTACGGCTGGACAGTATTGCATCTCCGTCTCTCCACCGGTTTCATTATTCTCATTGTAGTTTTTAATCCCTCCATTTTAAAATATATGTCGTTGGAGAAAAACTTAATTTTTTCAAAATATATGTCATTTTCACAAAACGAGGCATGTTTTGTTAATTTTTTCCAATATTGGCCTTACATGAGAAATTGTAGTTGTGTTGAAAGTAAAATTGTATTAGAGTTAAATATTAGTGGAATTAAAATTTCATTGAAGTAAATGAGGGCAATTCAGTATTTTAACAGAGTATTTAATGCCTCCTTAAACTTTGTGAAAACTCCCCAACGACTTATATTTGAGAATGGAGGGAGTAGTTTTCTATTTTCAAGAGTTTGTGGACGATGTCTGATAATATTATTTGGATTATCTTTAATACTAGTAATGTTTAATGGCTGAATCTTTTTATTCTAGGACTTGACTATAGTCATGATATCTTAGACTTTTTTATTAATCAATATTTAGTATAGTTGTTTTCTTTCGTGAAAAAATGGCTTCTATTTTCATTTTTAAACATGTTAATTGATAGAAGGAGATTTGAAGGTTAACAATAATTCTTAGGAACATTAGACTTAGGAACTGAGATATACGAGAATAAGAACATGACTTTTGCAACTTTTGATTCTTAAGTGTTTAATATGCTTTTATTAATTCCTACAGTCATGAAAATAATCATAAAGTTAATTTGAGTACGAAGATTATGACAGGACGGTATATATATCTTAAATAGGTATGAATCTTTTTGAAAATAATGAAAAGTCCAAAATCAAGTCTTTATGAATGGCATGTGAAAAGATATATAATTGGAACCATGGGAGAAACCTTTTTTATCGGCGGCTGACGCCGCTGGTTAATTGGGGTTAAGGTAAATTTCGGTGGCGCGCCGGAGTGCTCATTCAGCTTTCGCAAGGTTTCCAGTGGTTTTAACATGAACATTGGTTTCCAACTTTTTGCAACATCTTGGGTGGTTAATTTTTTCTGGGGCTTTTCCAGAAACTCTTGTTTGGCATTTGGGATGGAAGCAAGTTGAGGCTGAAATGGACATCGTAACGCTGATGTTGTAGTTTAAGGGAGCTACTGGGTAGGAAGCAGACAGTAAAGATGAAACATTTCCAGCCACGGAACGTTGTAGTTTAAGATCTTGTAAGGTTTTTTTTTTTATTTTTTTTTTTATAGATCTTGTAACGTTTTGTCTCAACTCAACTACATCGTGAAAAAAAAGGTAATCCACAAGAACTCTCTCATGGTTTTCAAAATCACATGAAAATCCCCCTATGGTTTAGAAAGCACTCAAGAACCCCCTCGTACTTTGCCGAAATGCGTAATGTGACGGGAAAAAACAAACATTAACGGAGAGTGTATTCATGATGCAACTGAAATAAGTTAAGCAAGAGTATTTTTCGTGATTTACCTACACTGCCCTTTCATGGTTTCTTTTTTCCTTTAAAAAATTAAATACACAACAATACTCCATTGTCCATCATCTTTCTCCATCTATGATCTACCTCTATCTTTTTTTCTTCTAACCAATAGCTTCTGCCTCCTATCAATCAAATTATTTTAGGCATACTACTTTAAGTTCTCACTACCACGACCTCATTAACAACCAAAATCACCACCACTATCATCCTCGTGGCCTTGTCAAATTGTAGCAAAAAATTAAGGATTTCAGCAATTTTGACGGTGGAAAGCGGAGTTCACGGCCTGCGGGACTTGGGGATTATCGGGTATATTTGCGGCAATGACTAATGACAGGATTTTAACTTGGCTACCTCTGATTTAGTATTATTTCTTTCATCAAAAGATGTATCTCATGGAATATTTGTTGCCATAAGACTTTGAATGAGTTTCTCTCTTTTTTTTAATAGTTTTTTTGGCAAGCCTTGATGATTAGTGCTTGTTTGTTTGTCAACTCATTTTACCTCTTAAACACAAAACTCAATGGAAAAGAAAATATCATCCAAACAACTTTCTGATTTACATTTTAAATTCCAACTTTAAACATTTTTTTGTTAGTGTAATGACTATTTTTGAAAAAGAAGTAGTTCAGTTACGAAATCTAACAAATGAAAATCTTAGAGAGACAAATTTGTCAGGTTTCGTCATTTAGTGATTGTTTTTGAAAAAGTTCTTTTTTAAAGTGACTATAATTGACAGTATTTAATTGTTTAGCAATGATTCGTACGTGATATTTCAAAATGTAGTTCAAAATAATTTTTTCAAAACCAACATCCAAACAACTTTTTGTTCAAAATACCATCCAAACAACATTTTTATTTCCCATTTAATTTTCAACTTGAAACACTTTCCACTTTTAAGTGACAAAATGAAATGTAAGATAACGTTCAAACAAGCCCTCATCCACGGTTACAATGTGGGTTTCTTGAAAATGTTAGTTCCGTTCTTGCAGAAGAGTGAGAAAAATCAGAATTTCGATTCGTGACTTGTGCTTGAAATGGGTTTCTAACCTGCCCAGATTTTGGTTTTTTTTGTTCTTTTAGTTTTCTTTTCAGTTTCGTTTTAGTTTGCCCAGAATTTAGTTTTCTCTTTTTCTTTTTGTAGTTTTCAATTTGAGGATATTCTGTTAATAATTTAGTAAATGTGGAAATACATTTTTTTTAAAAAAAAGAAAACATGAATGAAAAATCAATAAGATAGTTCTAATATGGAAGGCAAAAAGATATGGAAATTAAAAAAATTTGGATTGACATTTATTTAAAAAACAGAAAAGAAAAGGCTATAAAATGATCAAATGAAATATTTGAATGAGGGTGTATAAGTAATTTCAAATGGTTCCGTTATCATTCTGTTGGTTGTATTCATCTCCATCCATTTTACATGTTTGGGCAAAGTATGAGGGGGATCTCATGCGCTTTTTAAAGCATAAGGGGATTTTCGTGTGGTTTCCGATAACATGAGGGGGTTGTTGTGTATTAATCAAAAAAAAAAAAAGAGAAAAAAAGAAAAGAAATGGAACAAGACTAAAGTACTTTGGAAGTAAAGGTATACATAGAACTAGACCACAAATCATTCGGGCTTATTCAAAATCTTAGGAGAAAATCTGTCTTTGTGACACCGATTTTTCATTCGATCAAACAAATGGAAGATTAAATTAACTCACAAACAAATTCCTCAATGTGTTTGTCCGAGCTTCCTCCTTCATTAATGGCCTCTTTAGCTAATTCTTTCCACTTGAGGGCATTATTCCTCAGCTCACTTGACTTCTCCCCAAGCATAACTTCCTTGATAACAATCTCCACTTCCTCTTTTGTAACAATTCCATCACTCTCGCAAGCCTTAAGCCGGATTCCGGTCTGCCATACATCAACTATGAACTTTGAATTCGTCGTTTGATCAACCCATACCGGCATTGTCACCATCGGCACGCCTAAACTCAATGCTTCCATGGTCGAATTCCACCCACAATGAGTCACGAAACATCCCACTGCCTCATGAGCCAAAACTTCGAGTTGGGGACACCAATTCACAATTAGGCCTCTATCTTCAGCCTCGGAAATCAATTCATTCGGAACCTTGTCAACTTCAGTAGATCGGACGACCCACAAGAAGTTACAATTGCTGCTAACAAGCCCTCTTCCTATTTCTTCCATCTGATCCTTCCCGAGATTCGCCAAGCTCCCGAATGATATATAAACAACTGAGTTAATTTCCTTCGAATCCAGCCATCTTAAAATATCATCTCTGTTTTGTTTGAACAGATTGATGGCATAGCCCTTGTCATCTTCGATTCGCTTATCAACATACATTGATGGCGTACTTGGCCCTATCGTCTTTATTGGATACTGATCTTCCAACCATCTAACAACCTAAATTCAATTAGAATCCCAGCAAAAAGTTTAATTCATATCTCAATAGAACTTTTTCAAATAAGAAAGAGAACAGAGGAAAAAAAATGCTCTGTTACAACAACTTGTATGTTTTGAGCAATATCTATTTACCTCAGTTTCTAACTTGTCAAAAGTATTGAAGAAGCACCAATTCGCTTTCTCGAGGTTTATGTTTTCCGCGAGTACATAATCCAAGCTTGCAGGGTACGCATTAGGATCATACACAAAAGAAGGCAGATCTTTTGGCTCCAAAACCGGCAATGAAGGCAGAGAAAGAGTATTACATGTTGTTTCCAGAGGAGCCTTAAACGTTCCTCGATGAATATGGTTGTAAATGGCGGCGATCGCGCAAGCTTGAGTGAAAAATGCAGCCCCTTTAAGCCCAAGATTATGAACAATGTCTATAATCCAAGGCATGAGTGAATCATACAGGACAACTTTGACAGGACATCCAGAATCAGCTTTCTCTTCAGTTATCTTGGCTAGGTTCTTAGAAACCGCGGTATGGAATCGCGTAAGAAACGATTCCATTTCAGTTTGTGTGTCGATTCGGCCAACCTTGTCACAATCATCCGTGATATACTCGATCGCGATCGAGCTAAACGGATGTTGTACAGAGGTGTTGGCAGAAGCCATGGTTAGAAGTGTGACCTTTAGACCTTTTGAGGCTAAACGTTTGCAGAATTGCAGCATTGGGTTTGTGTGGCCCTGTAAAGGCAAAGGAATTGCTAGAACATGAACATTGCTACTTCCCATCGTCTTCTATGTTTTCTTTTTCCTCAGAATTTTGTTTTCAATATTATTGGGTGAGTTGCAGCTGGGGATTATATGAATATGATGTTGAAAATTGTAGTAATCTGGTTCTTGGTTCCTATATTTGCCAGAGAACAGCTATTTATGCTTAGAACTTAATGCAAAATTAATTTCTTCCCCAATGTACAAAAGTGTCAAGTTTTTTTCCCCTTTGTTTGTTATTAACTAGTTGGACACTTGGACTACATATTGTGATACTATTATATGGCTCATAGGCACTGCTTTAGATACATATGTCTATCATTTTTAAAAAAATTTCACAGATTGGCGTCAAGCAAATGAAATGTAGCCGAATATGTAATTAAGTGACTAAAAGAAAACGTATTTAAGTTAGAAGATTAAATTGGCATATTACGAAAAATTGTTGAACCGTGTAGTTATTATTATTTAAAAGCTTGTAATGGACAGCATTTAATATTAATAGTTTCGAAGATTAAATTTCTCCGGGCATCTGCCGGCCGAAGCTAATAAAGACAGACGTCGACGACTGTCACAAGAACATCCATTCGAAATTCGCAATCATATCAAAAAACCTTTAAAGAGAAATGGACAAATACAAGTATATATAGAGTTTTGACTACAAAAAGAACAGTGGATATTGGAGTATAATTTGGCTGATTAAGATTGTTTTTTTCTCACCAACGTTATAAAAAGTTTTATTGACTAACCTCCTACGAAATGTCTAGGAATTACCAACGGAATTTTGAGATTTATGAGACTGCTAAGATGAGAAGAAAAATGGAAAACGGAACATAAATTTCCAATGACATCTTCAGCTCCCTCCCTGATTTGGACTAAAAAATATAAGAAGATGAAGAAACAAACATATATAGAAGGCCCAAAATTAACGATAGCGAAATTTTGCTATTCCGAATCGTATAATCACTTGAGAGTTCCACTTTTTGAAATCAAAATACCGAATATCCATTCAAGTCATAATAGACTAGCTTCATTAACAAATTCTTCAATATGTTTGTCTGAGCTTCCTCCTTCCCCAATTGCCTCTTTAGCCAGTTCCTTCCACTTGAGTGCATCACTCTTAAGCTCTATTGACTCCTCACCATACATAACCTCTCTTATAACCATCTCTACTTCATCCCTCATAACAATACCTTTCTCACCAACTCTAACGCGCTTCCCGATTCGCCATACATCGGCGATGAACTTTGAATTCGTGGTCTGATCGATCCAGAGCGGCATTGTCACCATCGGCACTCCTAAGCATAACGCTTCTATCGTCGAATTCCAACCACAGTGTGTCATGAAACATCCCACAGACTCATGAGCCAAAACTTGGAGTTGAGGACACCAATTCACTATTAGGCCTCTTTCTTGCACCTCGGCGACTAAATCATCAGAGATTTTATACGCTTCGCTTGATCGAACAATCCATAAAAAGTTGCAATTTGTTTTAACAAGCCCCCATGCTATTTCCTCCATCTGATCTACTCCAAGGTTTGTTATGCTCCCAAATGATACATAAACAACAGAGTTCTTCTCCTTGGAGTCTAACCATGTGATGCATTCTTCGGTGGTTGGTTTGAAGAGATTCAGGGAATAATCTTTATCATCTTCCAATCGCTTGTCAGTGTATATGGAGGGAGTACTTGGTCCTACTGTCTTGATCGGATATTTTTCAAGCAACCAGCCTATAACCTTTGATCACATTGTCAGCAAACAAAATTTGTTAGAACTCATACAATTATTCTATGTTCGATAGTTTAATTCACTTTGTTGAACTAGTTTCATTATTACATTATGCATAATCGTTGTTCCTCAACATTGGGTTATGTGCATTTTGTTTTGGGTTTTGATCGATTCCAAAAAGTGTCTAAATTAAGACAAATTCCTCTCTTCCGCGCCCTACATTTAAATTTCGGTTGTATTACATGTACACTAATTAATCACGCGGATGAAAATTAGTAATTTCATTTCCAGAACATAAATGCCGACAAAGATTCATACTCTCTCTGTCCCAAAAAAATAATTCATACTGAGTTTTGAGATTTATGTTTTAACAGGATCACGACGTAGTTATATTTTGGTGGACCATTTTACATCATTCCCTAAAACTTATCTAAATCAGTTATAACTAGTCGTATAATGTAAATTAATTGGCTGAGAAACGTCTAGCAACAATTATATAGACAAAGTTAGAAAGGACCCCATTGAAAGGACTCCACTTTTTTGTCTAAAATATCTCCTAAGACAGCAGTCTAGGAAACAGAACATTTTCCCTCCCCTGAAGAAGATAAGATGAAACAATAACTGCTGGCCACTTCTTCATTGCATGGATTAAAAGGCTCAAACCCGATACTGAGTTGAAATTTTGCAGTTAGAATCCTATGTATGGATGGAAGGAATACACTAGACAAACTCCGAATTACAGGAAAATCAGTGATGGGTTTTAACAAAATCCAAGAATTCAAATGAATCAGATTGTAAATTGTCAAAAAGGCAAATTACCTCATTCTCGAGCCTGTCGAATGAGTTGAACAAGAGCCAATCTGCTTTCTCCAGGAGAATATTTTGAGCAAGGACGAGATCCAACAGATTCGGGTAAGCAGAAGGAGTGCACAGAAAAGAAGGCAGATCATTCCATTCCAAAACCGGCAGTGAAGGCAGAGTTACGGTGTTAGATTTCTCCAATGGAATCTTGAGCGTCCCTTGATGAATATGATTGTAAATGGCAGAAACTGCGCAAGATTGAGTGAAAAAAGCAGCCCCTTTTAGCCCTTGATCATGCACAAGTTCCAGAATCCATGGAATGAATGAATCATACAGCACAGCTTTGACTGGGTGCCCTGATTCAGCGCATTCTTCTATAACCTTCGCCAGATTTTTCGACACCGCGGCATGGAAACGAGACAAGAAGTTGTCAATAACATTTGCTGATTCTTTACTATTTTCTTGGTCATATTCATCATTTACATACATGATACTGATGGAGAAATTGTGCTGATGAGGTTCTTTCTCCAGGACGTTGGATGAAGTTGTGGTTATCAGAGTGATCATTACATCTGTTCTTGAGGCTAAACGCTTGCATAATTGCATCATTGGGTTCATGTGGCCTTGTAGTGGCAAAGGGATGGCCAGAAAGTGAGTTTTTCCGGCCATTCTTTTTTCCAGTTCTGGCTGTGCTGAATGGAGAATTGAGAGGTTTTTAAAAATTTGAAATCATGACTAAGGAAATAAGTGGTTCTGTTTATTTACCTCCAAAAAACAAAAGAAAAAGACGAAAAGAAAAGAAATGAGTGGTCCTATTTTGAAACCTATAACGTTGTTCATGGTGGTCAGCAAAGTAGTCCACATGCTAGAATATCTTTGTGATAATTACTAGACCATAAGTAACATACTGGACCATAATTATAAGACGAAATAAGTACATACCATTATATCAATAGAATAATAAAATTGTTGAACTGCAATGATCTCTTTTCCTTCATAGGCAGAGTAGCGAATAGGGACAACATAGATTATGATATTCTCTAGTGTTTTATAATGTCATATCACTTATTGTAGAAACTTACGGTAAGAAACCATTTTTTGACTATGAAATTTCAGAATAACTCAGCCAGAAATTGCTCCGACCAGTGGTAACAATCACTTAATATTTTTGACTATGAAATTCTCTAGTGTCTTTTGCTCTTTTTTTTATTGCTCCGATGAGTGGTAACAAGCATTTATTTTTAGGTCCTGAACGATCAATCCAACCGCATTCAATCATTAGCTAAATTCCTGTGAACTTTTTTGATTTATTACTAATTTTAGTGAAATAATCTATTTATTGATCTTTAAATTCTACAACTGTAATCGGTTTTGTCACTTTTTTTCTATATAAATTACGTGCTACATCTGAAAGCTGAAAGGAACCCGGCCAAATTTCTGCTATTGGACAAACACTAGAAGATGAATATTCTATTCCTGCAGTCCCATGTCTGCCAAATATGTCTGTTCTCCTATGACATATGTGCCATCAAATGGACAATCATTGCCTGCATAGTATAAAGGAATAGTGATAATAGTGAATTAACTATAATTTTCACCATCCTGATGGTCAAAAGTAAGAGAGAGTATTGATGATATAACAAAATTATGTCGATATAATCTCCACAATTAAGTATCAATTTATCATTTCATTAAGGCTTAAGCCCAAAATCACAATA